CCGTTATGAGAGACAAGGGTCGGAGGGCTTCGGTGTCCCCATGTCGGGTGTGGTGGTCGTTTGCAAGAAGTTTGCCTCTCCCAGAGTGTGTTTGACAGGAGCCTGAATGTGCCATCGGCGCTCATTCGTTTTCCGGGCCTTAGGGGCGTGCAGTGGATGCAAAGATGGACAGCACAGAGCCCCACAAAACAACAGCTTGTCTGCTGAGCCTCACGGGCGTCAGGCCCGCCCCAGGCTTTCGCGTGTGTCGTTTCCCCTTGAGCCCTCCCAAGGAGCACCTCGTCCCCCTTGTGCAAGGAGGAAACGGAGGTTCCTACCCCCCACACCCCCTCCCTGGGATTCAAGGAGCCTTCTCCCCACGTGTGCAGCCTTCTGGGAACGTCGGCCATGGGTTGTCACCTTGATCTCTTCCCGCGTGTCTACGCCAGACTCCAGGTTCGGTGATTACAGCACCTACCCTGAAAGGCCAGCCAGCAGGGCTGGGGCGTTAGCACTGGGCACGCAGACTTGGCAGTTAGAGACTGTGGATGCGGATGTTTTGGGAGAAAGGGAAATTAACTCTTGGCCTTTAAAGCCTGATAAACCAGATGTTCTCTCCCTTTTTACAGATGCTCTTTTGTTGTTTTGGTTTATTAATTATTTTATTGGGCCACAGTGGCTTATAGCATTATGTAAATTTCAGGTGTACCCCTTTTGTTTTTAAAAGGCTGCGTCCTTGGGGACCCAGTCATGTGGCTTTGACAGTATCTCTACAGGGAAAGGCTTTTGTAGGATTACTGTAGTGGGGTCCCTAACTCACACATGGGACGTTTACTGTTTTAATTTCCTGTGCTCACTTTTCCCCTTTATTACAGCCACTGCCATGCTTTTTGTGTTTCTCTAGGAGAGCACTTCCTTCATATCTATTGAGTCATTTCCTTGGTTTTTCCTCTTTGTCTCAAAGAATTCCTGCTGGAATGCTTCCTGTGGTAGTAGGGTCTTGTCAAATCATGCGCTAAAAACAGAGCCCGACTCACCCCGTTCTGCTGCTGACTGTGTCCTGTCGAGCCTTCTTTCTAAGAAGCGTTTGGAGTGCCGCACAGTCAAGGTCGTGGACAGTAACGCTAGCAATTTCATCTCTGTGCAACAGAGGTTGGGCATGAAGTTCAATGAAGCGTAATTTTCGAGTTCCAAACATAGTTTGGAAAAGTATCACACCCCACCCGTGCCTTCACATGAAGAAGTTCTCAGCAGCTAGAATACCTGAATGTGTATTGGGAGACACACACAGGATTGGTGGCGGGGGGTGTGTGTTTGGGGGCCCGAGTCTGGATTGAGAGCCTTGCCTTCCCGAGCTGCCCGGTGTGGTCAGCATGGAGATGAGCTCGTTGTCCAGGCCCCGCGCTGCTGCTCACTGTGCCCCTTACCATTTTCCTTGAGTTGACAGGTCAGAAATGTCAGTACTGAGTGTGAGCGGACTGTCAAGTTCTGTTTCGGTGGAAAGCTTGGCGAACCACATTCTGGCTGCTCTGGAGCAGCCTTGTTCTTTCCTGCAGGTCAGTGGCAGTCACAAGTGAACTCGGCTCCTCGTGAGCTGGTCCACACTGAAGGTTCAGCCTGCTCAGAGGGTCAATGGGCAAGGAGATGAGCTGACAGCTGGCAGAAGAGGAAATGAAAAAGGCCGTTTGGATTACACGTGATAAGACTTTTTTCACGTGCGGGTGCTTATGTTATTTTTACTGGAAAGTACATATGTGTTTTGATAAAATACAAATTTGCGTATGCACTGGGTTACAACGTGTGCAGAAGGGAAGATGTCAGGATGTGGACGTGATAATTTTGGAGGAGTGAGGTCTACAGGTGACCCGGGGAAGCATCTCGTATGCTTTTTACATGCTTTGCAAATTGTCCACAGCAAGCCCATCTGACTTTATAACCTTGAAAGAGAGAAACCACATGAAAGAGCTTGTCCTCTGCCACAGTGTGCGGCCTGGGCCTCCTCTTGCTCCTGGCGGGGCCGACTTCATGTGCCGGGGCATCTTAGAGCGGCTGTTCCTTCCACACTCTCTGTGTGACTTTGCTCTGGCCCTGCCCTGGGCTGGGAGCTTGAAGAGGGGTTTGTTGTCATGTGTCCCCGGGGGAGAACCTAACTCCTGTAGAGAGGCTGCCCCGCCTGTGCAGTAGACCCTTAGACCCGATTTGTCATTGTTACACTTGACCCTATGCTTCAAAGATTTAAATGTGCGCGTAGTGGATTTAGAGGAGAGTCCGGTAGACAGGGGGACCTTCTGCCACCACACTTGAAATGAGCACTGTTTTGGAAGCATGTGTTGACACTGTCCTTGCTACTTCTAAAAAGCTTGGAAACACTTTAGCATCCCCATTAGGTAGATTCACGGAGACTGCTCGAGGAAGTCTGAAATAGCACGCTTACAAATATCATTTTCTGTCCAGATACACACTGAGGCGTCTGGGCAGCTCATTCCTGGGGGCGATTACATGTACTCTCTGTCCTATTAAGGCCAGCTCTTAATAGAACAGAACTTGGTGGCAGGTCCAGCCTCTGCCTGTCCTTCCTCCCACACACTGTACAGTGGCCAGGAGCTTTTTTGTCTTTAACTATATTATTTATTTATTGAAAAAAAATTTTTTTGAGGAAGATTAGCCCTGAGCTAACTGCTGCCAATCCTCCTTTCTTTTTGCTGAGGAAGACTGGCCCTGAGCTCACATCTGTGCCCATCTTCTTCTACTTTATATGTGGGATGCCTACCACAGCATGGCTTGACAAGCGGTGCCATGTCCACACCCGGGATCCGAACTGACGAACCCCAGGCTGCCGAAGCAGAACGTGCACAGTTAACCGCAGTGCCACTGGGCTGGCCTGCAGGCTCCAGGAGCTTTTTAGTTGTCGGTTGAATGGCTGGGAGGCCCCCCTTGAAGAAAGCTCACTCGTTAAGAAAACGGTGCTTAAAGGAGGGCATGGTTCTACACTTACCCCAGAAATGTTTGCAATTATTCCCTGTACTGAGAGTCTCCGTGAGTGTTGGATAAAATGGGACATGTCTGACTTTAATCGCCCCGTGACTCTTAGCTCGTAAGGGAGGCCGACCCGTTAATAATAGCACACCTTCTGCCTTGTCTTAGGCATTTGGCCGCTGGCTCTGTGTGCAGAGGGCGGCAGCTTTGATGAGTGGTTTCTGGCTGGTTTTTAAAAAACAACGTGGTTTTCCTGAGCTGACATTCACTGAGCACGCAGGTGGCTCCCCTCATCCTGAGGGCAGGCTGCAAGGCCAGGATGCTCCTGCCACCCCCTTGGCAGGCGACGCTGTGCGGGGCAGGGGTGCCACTCGTCTGGGGGCTCCCAACCCTGAGCCGCAGCCCCGGAGTCTCTCGCCCTGCACTCCTTCTGTGTTCCGAGGCAGCCATACGTCGTTTGCCCACCTCGTCCATAAAGCCAGTGGTTTTGATGTATTGCAGCTGGATTGTGTATGCGGGGGTAGATGTGTCTGTGGTAGAAATTTTGGTCGTCAGACAAATGACAAGTTCTAAAAAGGAATCTTCCAGTCAGGACTTGGCAACAAAGCTCTGGAGATACCCCGCCTCATGTCACCCTCCCTCCTGATTCTGTGCGAGCAGCCTGAATTCAAGTCCCTCGGCTGGTCTGTTTATCAAGGCAGGGGCTCCAGTAACACCTTCCTCCTCATGGCAATAAAAATGTCTCCAGGTGTTGCGAAATGGCCGTGGGGGCGCAGTCACCCCCAGTGAAGAACTCCTGCTTTGGATAATGTGTAATAAATGCTTGCCGAGTATTTCAAGTTTTTCCTAATTCACCAAGCACTGTGGGTGGCCACAAGTGACGTGGGTGACAGTCCTGCCCCAGGACGCCCTTCCTGACACACCCCGGGCCTCTCGGCACACAGGCCGTCTGCCCCCGTGCTCCCCGCGCCCTGCGTCCCTGGCTTTAGGCTTGGGCTTGGGAGCGCTTGTCTTTCCTGGAAGGTTGTGAACAGAAACTGAATTCTTTGTCCTCAGGAACAGACACACATTTGAGATAAGCCACCTTAATTACAGAACGCGCATATGGGACATCCTCAGCTTTGTAGAAAACTTTTTGCTCTGTTATTTACATTTTCCTCGCTGACTTTCAGTAAGTAAAATCCTCGGGATGTCTTTTGGGAGGAAATAAGTGGCCTGACCTTCAGTCGCAGTCCAGTTTGGGGCCAGCGGTGTCTGCGAGGCTCTCGTCTCTGACCCCTTCCCCTTTCTCTCCAGAAAGGACCTCAGCGTGAAATACCCGGAAGACCTGCCCATCACCCTCCCAGACCTGCTGCGGTTCGTCCTGCGCCACTCAGACCCCGCCCCTGCCCCCCCGAGCTCGGCGACCCCTCCCACGGGAGAGTGTCTCCAGAGCGAGGCGGTCCTACAGCAGGGCCACATCTCCCACCTGGAGAGAGAGATCCGGAAGCTGAGGGCAGAGATCAGCGCCCTGCAGCGGGCGCAGGGGCAGGTGGAGGCGCGGCTCTCCAGCGCGCGCAGGGACGAGCACCGGCTGCTGCGGCAGAAGCAGACCCTGGAGAGGCAGCACGGCCTGCTCCAGCTGCACAGCGAGCAGCTGCAGGCCCTGTACGAGCAGAAGACGCAGGAGCTCGAGGAGGTGGCCCGCAAGCTCCAGGAGCTGGCCGACGCCTCGGAAAGCCTCCTCACCGAGAACACGTGGCTCAAGATCCTGGTGGCGACCATGGAGCGGAAACTGGAGGGCAAGGACAGAGCTGAAAGCCCCACTCCCCCGGAAGAGGCGCGCGCTGTCCCCCCGGAACCTCCAGGTGCCCCCCGCCTACCTGGCAGCACCCCGCCTTCCAACGGCAGCGCCACGCTGGCGTCCGACAGGAGCAACGAGAACAGGACGGACTGACATTTAACATGACATGAAATCAGAGGTGAAAACTGTACATTGGGAATATATTTATGCAAATTTTATTGAAATTTATTGTAAATAAAGATTTTCTCAGTGGTCTAGAAAATCAGTTTGAATGTCACTCAGCTTTTATTGAACAGGGATGACATCCCTTGCACTTATTGCACGGAGTTGATAGCTTTGAGACAAAACAGTAGCACAGGCCACTTGAAGATCTGTCTGAAAAATCGGTCCCTGTTTTGGTGGCTCAGTGTCAGTGTGTCTCCCCGTTCCCCCTCCTGGCGCTTCTGCGATGACACGGAGGATGAAAGATTAATTTTGCCTGACTAGTCAGAAAACTTAAACGCAACAGTCAGGCTATTCAGAGCGAATTCAATGAGAGGCCATAACTTGACTAAGCCATTTGAGTGTGCGGCTCTGGTGTCGATGCTATAAAAAGTAGCTATTGATAAACAGGAACAGTGAAACCGATTATGTGGCCATTCACCAGTTCTACAGGCAGTTTCACGACCACTCCCGGAGACCCCGTGAGTGCCCCTCCACGCCTGTGACCCAGCACTGCCACCACACCCACGGGCCTGCTGCAAGCTGCAGAGGCGTCGTCCCGACAACCGCGCAGGGGGAGAAGGGACCTGGAGAAGAGAAACGGAGGAGAAAGTGACGTTTCATCATTTCAAAACCAAAACCTCACTGGCCCAGTAAAGACCTCAGGGCAAGCGTGACGGCCAAGCCATGGTCCTTTCCCGGGCCAGGCTCAGAGACAGAAAATGCAAGTCCCAGGGGCTCCTCAGGTACTGGGTGGGCACACATCCTAGGGGGTGCTGCTGCCTGCGGAAAGTAGAGGTAGAAGGCTCGGAAGTTCTGGAAGGCGAGGGGAATGGGTCCAAGACCCTAGAGCTCCCACGTGCCTCTTGAGCCGCCTTCATTAGAGAGCAGAGCTGCTCCCCATCTTCCAGTCGGCACCTCTGGGACTCCTGCCGCCCTGCCCCACCCGCACCCCGTCCCCCACTCCAGCCCGCAGGCCTCTGTTGGTCTCGCGCTTGCCCATGCCCAGTTAGGGGCCAAAGACCTTTCCTCTCCTGTCTTGATGCCAGCTGCCCCCTAAGGGCCCCTCTAGCCCATCGTGGTCCCTCGCTCCTGCCCTCAGCTCAGATTCCTCCCTAGCAGCCCCTCCCCTCCCCAAGCTGTTACTTCCTGTTTGACCCCCACTTTAGGTGGATGCTGCTAAATAAGTGGTCCCTAAGACCCCTCCTCGGGGTTCTAGAAAGGACATTAGTTCAACATGCTTTTTAGAGGAGACCCGGATGAGGCCAGAGGAGTGGGCTTCAGCCGGACCCGGAGGCTGGAGCTTGGAGGGGGAGGGGGGCGGGGTAGCCACGAGCCACCCTGGGGCTCCCTGGCCGTGCTGAGAGCCGGCGCTCCTAGGCCAAGCCGGGGCTGGTCCCCGTTTGTCACCAAGGATGCCCACACAAGTCCCGTTGGGTCAGGGTAGCTCAGGATGTGCCTCCAGTGGTGGGGCTAATCCAGGCGAGGGCACTGAAGCACACAAAGGGTCCCCCTGGAGATGCAGGCTGTGGGACGCTGGCCCGGCCTAGAGCCACCAACTCCTCGTCTGGGCGAAAACCAAGTCCCGGGCCTGAAACCCACTCTCCTCCTGCATCCCCGGAGCCCACCAAGCGCGGCTGTCAGAGCCACCTGGGGCCCCCCGCGTGCACGGGCACAGGCTCGGTGCTCCTAGAGCGGGGTCAGGGGACTCTCCTCCAGGTGACCCGCTGAGGAAAGCGAAATCCAGCAGGTGGGTGGCAATCTGAGAAGGAAGGAAGCTAATTTGTGAGAAAGGGAAGGGGGGCGGAAAACCCTCAGAGTCCCTCCCCCTGCCCTCCAGTGCAGAAAATGTTAAATACAACAACAACCAAAAAGCACAATTTTCTCTTTCCTGGGCCAACTGGGTTTCAGAGAAAGGTCGTCTCCACGGGCTTTGGGGTTTGTAGCGGAGCCTGCACTCTGTACCGCCCGGTGGGGGCAGCGGGTGGGGACTGGGCCGGGGGAGTGCTCAGCATGCTCAAGACCAAAGGGGCAAGAAACTGCTCTGCCACTAGGACGCCTGGCAGCCATCGGGACTCGTGCCCTGACTCGTCCTTCACCGGCTCCCAGGCAGCCGCAGCAGCTTCCTTGCAATAACTCCACTATCAACAGGAACTGGAATCCACCGACCAACCGAGTCTACCTAGAGAACGAGGGGGCGTGGTTCTTCTTTCATCCATTGCTAACCAAGCAGAAATCCCCAGAGCACCCCCTCTGGGCGGCCGTGAGACCTGACACTGATACTCACGTCCTCTGCATGCACACGCACGTGTTATATACATTAGAGGCCCCGCCAAGTGTCTGAGACCCTCCCCCACAGCCATCGTGAGTCCGGTCGGTCAGTCCCATGTGCTCTATACAATGTTTTAAAAAATCAGCAAAAAAGGCTTAAGGACGTGCTTCGGGGGCCTATTTACAGTTCACAGGTTTGTGAGTTCACACCTTACAGTAGTAGCTCCATCAAAAACAGGCTCAGCTAAACATTCAAGTAACGAAAGCGCTATGGGGCCGTGAGCCCCCGCAAGGTCAGGCCTGCCCACTGCCTGCAATGGGCAGCCCCAGCAGGAGGCTGAGGGCACGCCCAGGGCCACCGAGTCCCGGCTGGGGACAGCTGGGAGCCCGAGAGTCAGTGCATGCGATGAAGAAGCCTGCAAGGCCATGCCAGCAGTGTCAAGCCTTGCTCTCAAACGGCGGCATGTCCGTGGTTTCGCACCTCCTGGCTGGCTGCAAACAGGCCCAGGAGCCCCCGCGTCCCAGCTCAGCCGTGGACTTCCGGGCCATTGGGGGTCAGCTTGGCCTTCCTCTCCACACACGGTCCCCTGGCCGAGTACTGCACCAGCAGGAAGGGCTCCTTGGTCTCGCCATCCCCGACGATGCTCTCCTCGTCCTCCGACTGGCTGATGCGCTGCAGCCGCAGGTAACACCAGCAGCCCAGGATCAGGGCCCCCAGGGCGGCGATGGCGATGAGGATGACGATGACCGTGACCACGCCCGTGGTGGGGCTGTGGTCCATAATAGACATGGTCAGTGCTCGGGGAGGCTGGCACGGCAGGAAGCTCTTGGGGGCACCGGCTCAGCGAGGCTGGAACTCAGGCGGGACACCAGAGCCCTGGAAGAGAAAGCAAGACGAGGCTACATCGGAGACTCTGCTGGGGACCCTGCCAGCTTGCGAGCTGGCTGGGCTCCTCCACGGGGTCTATTTTTAATCTGTTCTTAAGCCTGACCGTCCCGCCCTCATCCCAGGGGAAAAGCCTCTGGTTGGCCTTCGCTGTTTCTCTGTTCATGATGCCACCAGCGTCCTTGCTGCTCACCCCAGTCCCCTTCTTTCACTACCTTTCATACCCTCAGTCACCCCCGCTCAGCCCCGGAGCCTGAGATGCAGGGAACGGGGGCACCCAAGACCTGCAACCCCCCTGCAGCAGAGGCTGAGAGAGAGTCTGCTTCAGCTGAATGTTCCGGAACACCACTAGGTGTTCAGTAACGGCTCAGCAACTACAAGGAGGCAGTGCTTCATTGATGGCCAGACATGAGGGACTCAAAAGCAGGGAAATGACATCAGCCCCTTTTGCAAACAGGCAACACATCTAGCTGAACCGAGTCTTCCGGAACACCTGTGAAAGGCTGGGGTGGGGGCGGGGGGGCGGTGACAGGCTTTGCCCACAAGGGAACTGCAGCCACCGGGGGGAGAGCCCCGATCCACCACATACCATCTGAGAGGAAGCCAGGCAGCAGGGTCCTGGAAGATGGCAGCCCGAGGGAGGGCAGGAGTGGGACAGCCCGGCCCTGCCCTCGCCAAGCTCAGCGCCTGGTGCAGAGCCAGACCGCAGAGGGGTCAACACACCCAACGCCTCTCACTACGAATGCCATGCCACGAACACAGGGCACCGGGTGCCACGGTGCTAAGCCAGTGGGGCAGGGGATACTCAGGGAGGCAATCTGACACTGGGACGTGCAGGAAGACCTAGCCCTGGGGGAAGCGTGTTCCTGGCAGGGGAAGGGCATCTGCTAAGGCTCTGAAGGCAGGAGAGGGCCTGCTGGCGAGTGTGAGGAGCTGAGGGCCCCGGTAGCCGGACCTGGAACATCAGCTTGTTCAGTGGGGGCAGCGAGGGGGTATACATGCTGGACCGCCACCTCCTCATCCCGTAACCTCAGACAACAGCTTCCACCTCTCTGAACCCCGAATCCTCCTGTTAATGGAGCTGGTCGGGGGCTAAGGAGAGCACAGCTGCAGGAAGCACAGAAGACAAGAACCCCCACTCGAGGTCTGACTCTAGGTGGCACCCACAGGCCCAGCCAGTGACGCCCACTGAGGCTGGAGGTGCTGGAGCTGGCAGGCTCGCCGGGGCCCCAGGACCCTGTACTTGTTTATTTCTCCTGCATTGCTGTAAACGGAGCAAAGCACAGTAACCAACAACCAGGTGGTTCTGAGGCTGAGGTGACGCCCTGGGCACAGGGCCGGCCCGAAGCAGAAGCCGGCGCCCAGGCAGAGCTGGCTGTCCGAGTTCAGCGTTTTGAGCAGACTGACCTCAACACAGGTGGACAGCGCTGGCCAGGGAAGGTTGCCCTCCAAACAGGATGGAACCCGCCGTCCCTGAGCGGTCACAGCCTTGATTAGAAATGACTCTTCTCCACACCAGGAGTCTCCCGACCCGCCCCCAAGGCCAGATTTGCCTGAGGGTCAAAGGCAGCCAAGTCAAAGCCCAAGTCCATCTGGGGACCAGGCCCTGGGAAAACGCCGCAGACCCTGGAGTGCGGCCCTGAACCGCGCCCGCGTTTGCAGAGGGGTCCTGGGCAGGAGTCGGGGCGACATCCTGGAGTCGGCCCCCTTCTGACCACCTCCAGCGTCAAGTCGCTGCCAGCGCTCACGGTGGCTCCCTGGTCCACATGTGCGGGCCCACTGCAGCCAGCGCCCCGTCTCGGAGGGAAGGCACCAAGTCCTCACAGTGACGTACAGGACCGGACACGATGCGTTCCCACCCCTTGCACCCCTCCCCGCTGCCCCCAGCCAAAATGACCCCGCGCTCCCTCCTGCCTCCAGGCCTTTGCCCAGGCAGGTCCCTCTGCCCAAATACTCTGCTCTCCTACCCTTGTTCAGTGGTTCTCAACTGGGGGCGGCTGTGCCCTTCAGGGGACGTTTAGCAATGTGCAGAGACATTTTTGGTTGTCACAACTGGCAGTGGGAGTGTTGCTGGTATCGAGTGGATAGGGTCCAGGGATGCTGCTAAACATCCCACAGCGCACGGGATGGCCCCCCACCGGCAAAGATCTGGCCCCAAGACTCCACAGTGTGGAGGCAGAGAAACCCGCACCTAGTTAACTCCAGTTCAGGTGGGGAAGCCCTCCAGAGCCACGGTCCAGGAGGGTCTCTTCATCCTGCGACTGCACTTGCTCCCTCCCTCCGGGCACCAGCCTCAGTCTGCAACCCTGGCTTCTGTAGCTCCGCCATCTGGTTAGCACCCGCCTCCACCATCGGGCTGTGCACTCCAGGAGTGCCCTTGCACACTTCTGTGCCCTCCAGTGCACAGATCATCCTGGCCCCTCTGCCGCCATCAGGGCTGCTATCAGCTCCCACAGCTCTGCTCTGTCCTCTCAGGCCTCCAGACAGGACAAGTGACCCCCTCCCCCCCAGAGAGCCTGCTGGCTGCAGCTGAGTGAACACCCACCGCCTCGGCCCTCCCCGCCGCCCTCTCTCCACTGGACCTCTCGGGTCCAGCGCCTGCCAGGGCACCTGCCCTCGCCCCAGGCTCCTGGACAGGAAGCCCAGTCAGTATCAATTCGGAAGGGGAAGTGTGTGTGTGTTTGGGGAGTGGGGGTGATTTGGGGGCAGGAAGCGGGAAATCAATCAACGGCAGCAAGACCTGGGATGGTGGTGGCGGGGAGCCCAGGAGGCGCCCACAGTCCAGGGGAATGCCAGCGGTCCGAGGACTAACGAGGAGACTGAGGCAGAGGCAGCCCCAGCTCAGAGAGACCCTCTGAGGGGAGTGGTGGCCTCAGAGCCCTGTCTGCTGCCCCCGCCCCAGGCCAGGAGGGGTGGGCAGAGCCAGGTGACCAGGCCATACTCATGCCAGGTCCCGGGCCCTTGCCTGAACGTGTGTGTGCGCGTGTGCGTGTGCGCGCGTGTGTGTGTGTTCCTTCACTCGCTCGGCAAGTATTTCCTGAGAACCGATCTTGTAAAAGATCTGATCACATCATGCCCTGCACAGAACCCTCCCCGGCACTGGCAGAGGACCCGAACCCCCTGCCTCCCCGAGCTTCCTACCACCTCCCCCGCCTCGACCTCAAGCCCTCCACATTTTCTGTTCCTTCTGCCTGCAATGTTTTTCCCCGACTGTCCCGTGACTGGCTCCTTCCTATTATTCGGGACTTTCTCAGCAGGTGCCTCTTGGGGGATGTGTTCCCAGACCCCCATGACTGCAGATGCCCCCCGGCCCCACACTTGCCATCTCCTTGCACGACTTCATTTGACTTCCCCGAGCTCTTGGCTGCTTGGAAGTCCCCTGGGTCAGGGAATGTCTTCCCTGGCTGCTGGCTCCTTCCCGCAGTGGACTCGGAGCCTGGAAGAAGAGGGCACTGTCCGTTGTGCCCGCTGCTGGGTCCCCAGCCCTATGATCGGCACACAGCAGGTGCTGGAGAAATGTCTGCTGAGGGTTCCAAGCCCGGGGACAGAGTGATGAGTTAGAGGAGACGCTGATCAAGGCTGGCACCCCTCCCTCCCTGCCCCCCTCAGCCAGCTCCCTAACCTTGAAGCCACTTACGGGACCCTGGGCACAGGTCCCCATGCCTGTCCCAACAGACTCCAGGAAGCTGGCAGCCTGCGTGGGAGGTCAGGCTGCAGCCTGAGTGCGGGGGCAGGAGCGACATGTGCAAGTAGATGCCGGGCAGGCCTGAGCTGGGGAGGGCAGCTGTTTCCACGAGTGCTGGGGCTGGGCCAGGGGTGGGGGGCCGCCAAGAAACACAGCCCAGGGGAGACCTGAAGCCTGAGGGTACTGGCCGCTTCCCCCAGACCCTCTTGGCCTGCACTGGACCCCACCTGCTTGCTTCGCCCCTCCCAGGCCTTCCTGATGCCCGTCTGAGCCAAGGGGGCTCCTGTGAGTCAGCTGACCTCTCCCCAGATCCAGGAAAGCCCACGGGGTGGGACAGGGTGGGCCGCAGCATAGGCTGGGGAGATGCCCAGACGGCGCATGGGAAGCCTGGACCCCCTCGGGACCATCGTCGAAGCAGTTAGCATTTATCCTCTGCAGTCATGAACCCGGCGGCTGAGGCGGCTCACCGTTATCACGCCCATTTTACAGACGAGGAAACTGAGGCCCAGAGAGTCGGAGTGGACCGCCCAGGATGTGAGCCCAGAAGTGCGGCCCATTAGAGCACAGGTAGGGGTCTTCCCAGCACCAAGGACCGGCCAGCCTGCCATCTCCGGGCACTCTGGGGTGGGTGACAGACCACTCTCCCCCACCACCTCTGGAGCATCTCCTTGCCTGCTCCCTCAGTCAGGACAAAGGCTGGCACTGGAGGCCAAGGCCATTTGGACCCCCAAACATCCAGGGCCAGTCCTCCCCCATCGCTGCCCCCTCCTGCTCTGAGGGCCCTCGGTCCTGCCTCCCTGGGCCAAAAGTGGCCCAACCCTCGGGCCTCAACCACTGCTCCTGGAAAAACCAGCTCTGAAGCCCAGCCTCGCCATCTGCAGAGGCCACCCCTTTGAACTGCCCAGCAATGTGTTCCAAAGGCCAGTCCCAGTCCCAGCCACCAGCCAGCTGAGAGCAGGCATCTCCCACCATCCTGCTGTCCCTGAGGCCCACAGCTTAGGTCTTCCCTAATGTAAGACGGGGTTCCAGTCACCCCTGCCTCTTCATGGGACCCCCAAACTAAGCCTTAACCCCCCTTCACAGGTCACACCACACACTCAAGGCCCAAGGGGGCCACCGTTCGCAGCAGGGCACATCTGGGTCCCCCTCTTCGCCCAGCCCACCCCTCCACCAGCTCCTGTGAGCTGCTGTGACCCAGCCAAGCAAGCGGCCTCGATTTCCCAGTGTGCAAAATGGGAATGAGGCCCTGATCTCCCCAGCCAGGCCGTGGGAAGGAGGAGAAGTGATAAGAAACGTGAAAATGGAA